TCTCTCCCTCTCTCTCTCTCTCTCTCTCTCTCTCTCTCTCTCTCTCTCTACTTGACGGTGCTTACCTTGCACGTATGCAGTCAACTTGCAGAGCACGAGTCCGAAGATCCATATTCTATAGACGATGCGACCGACTGCGACAGGCATGCACGTGACGGCTACCATCAGGTCCGCTATGCATAGATTGACGACCAGGTAGTTCGTCACGCTGAAAAATATTCGGCGAGTGAAGCGGTTAGCGTCTGTTCACGTTCATCGGCCCTGATTGTCATTGATAGATGATCGGCTGAGATAATTAATCGATAGCTGATCGATCGAGATCGTTATCGATAGCTGATAGGCTGAGGTATATAATCGATAACTGATCGGCCTGAGATATTTAACCAATAGCTGATCGATCGAGATTGTTATCGATTGCTGTTAGTATTAGGGTTAGGGTTTGTTAAAGTTAAGCTTAGGGTTAGAGTAGATGTTGGTGTTGCATGGGGTCAGAGTTATGGATGGGATTAGAGTCGCAGTAGAAAAACATGGTCTACGGGCTAGATCTGTAATAAGAAGCTTTTCGCTGCCAAGTGAATCTCAAATAACGAAGTCGATATAAGAGTTTTTGATCTGGTACCGCATCAAACATTATATAATTATTTCGGCTGTATTTCTGTCTATATTACCTTTAACTATAAGTACGTACCCAATGTCCTTGTCGTCTCGAATAGTGTATACATTACTGATGAATATGACTGCGCATGTAAGCAAATCGCGTTTAATGGTACCTTCGGCTATGATAAAAGCTGGAAATTTTTAAAAGCCTACTGCGCACTGCCTCACAGAAAGATGATTCGTTTTTTAGCATCTTCTGATCTCCGCGTCGCAACGTCGCCATGGTGACGGCGTCTAAACGAAGCCACAAAATACGTACGTTTTTTTCCAGCAAGATTACATATAATTCTAAGTGCATTACGCATTAGATCATTAGTAAAACATAATGCCAATAAAATCACACGCAGGTATTACAGAGTCTTTACTTCGTCGCGGTTACCATAGCGACGTTACGTTGCAATGAAGAGGACGGAGGATGTTGAAAGCAAAAATAACAAAATCTTTCGCATCCGACCTTCGCGCTAGTCGGCTTTCATCGCGTGATAATTGCCTACACGTGCCTCTCACGTCTATCTTTTGATCTTTCTGAATCTGATCTTGTTAGTGCTTTTTTCCGTGCGCATATATAATCTACAAATATTACCATCTATGTATTTACACATTTCCTGCCAATGTACGCGGGGTACACGAAGAGCTGTGCAAGCGATGATTCAGTTCTCGTGCCTTCTGTTTTTGCGCAAAACCCAATTCATTAGATGTGTTTATCCTCATCAGACACTCATCCACGCATAACACTCATTCCATCTACCCCCCTATATGACGTATCTTCTCCGACACAGTCATTCGATGACGCAACCAAACACGGAAGTTCAGAAGCAAGGTTTCCTTGTTATTACTAGAATATTCCAGAAGTGCAAATTTCATCTGCGTCATGCGGGAATATTGCTGCTGGGTCGGTTATAAGCCGTTTCCATATCGCCTTAAATATTTGGTAGAGCTGTCCGTAAATCATACCGTGATAATAATAATAATAATAATAATAATAATAATAACAATAATAACAACAATAATAATAATAACAATAATCGATACCTGCAAACCACCCTGGTATCGCGCTCAACAACAAGAGAGAAAAACGATGCCTGCTGATTGACGTAGCCGAACCAAATGATACTAACATCAAGGAAAGAGGCAGCCTCACCAGATACGAAGATATGGCCATTGAGATTAGCAGCATGTGGAAGACTATTATGAGAGTTGTGCCAGTGGTGATTGGAGCCCTTGGTTCTATAAAGAATGGTGTTGATAAAAACCTCAAGGAACTCCCTGGCCACCACACTGCACAAGAAGTGCAGAAAATTGCACTACTGGGAACAGCACACATCCTGCGAAAAATTCTGGATTGAATCCCTATGTCCCAGGTTGGGACACGGTCAACCCAGAAGCCACCGGCTAATGCCGTGATCCACTTTGGAAATAATATATGCAGCCTCACCTGATGCAGCCTCACCTGATGCAGCCTCACCTGATGCAGGCCTGACCTCACAATTGCGCATCATAAATGAACACGTAATGTCACCGACATTAAGTGAGAGAAGCGAAGACGGACATTGTGGATGTGTGCGGTTACTGTGAGGACGCTAGGTGAACAACTAGTCGTCAGGAAACATCGTAATAAAGCGTGCGCTAATGATGTCGATTGCGATACAAAATGTTGTTAATTAGTGTGATTAAATCTTGTTGATATAGAATGACGTTGATTATCGCTATTAAAAGACGGCGAGAGGGTATGTAACGATTGAGAGTGACGTCATGGTAATAATGTCTCTGACAACGCATTCGTGTTTCGTGTCAGCGGGCATATAAAACTACATGTTGCAAAGCCTGTCAATGTATAATCCTATAAGCCTACTATAAACCAATGTATAAGCCTCTCCATATATCCTACCCCACCACCACCACCACTACTTCACGGCTAGGTAGAATATAGGTCTAAGGAAAGCCGATATACTAGTTACACTGTATTAAGATTTGAGGTATTGTCCACAGACGTGTAGTCTCCAACCCTTCTCGGATGAGGCAATGTCATCCATGTTGTGAAACACTCTCAGCATCACCTGACAGCTATATGTAAAGTCAGGCACGACGTTATTCGCCCTCTAACACTAAGCAGTGTCTCTTGACACCGTACACTCGCGCACTGACAGATAGCTAGCTATTCATCTAACCAAGGTCTTCTTTATACGCTCTTGATCTAACCAATAGCTAACCCATTCTCTAGAGTAACAGCAGCCTGACACGCTGCCGGCACGTGACATATGCATACTCACTCGCATCCGACCTATAAACGCGTAATTTGTATGCCGACGTGTTTGCAATCACGTGCGACCCCTCGCGCTATCGCGTGATTAGCTCGTATACGGTCTCACAAACGCGCTGCTATATAGGCTCTAGAGTCTACAGCTTATATGCATGTAGAGAGAAAGCGAGAGAGAGAGAGGGAGAAAAAGAGAGAGAGAGAGAGAGAGAGAGGGAGAGAGAGAGAGAGAGTTGCTGCTGATGTTGCCGGTGGTTGTGCTGCTGCTGCTGATGATGATGTTGCTGTTGGTGGTTGCGGTGGTGCTGATGTTGATGCTGCTGCGTCTGGTAGTGGTGCTGCCGCTTCTGTTGCTGATGCTACTGCACTAGTGCAGCGCACGTGTGTTTGGCACGACGTGTTCGTGTATGGTGTAGTGCGTGCTCACGCGCTCTACGGCATTCGTGCACGATTCCTACAGACACAGGCGCGTGCGAGCACACGCCCAGCCGCACGCACGCACGAGCGCGCGACGTCGCTAGGCTATGCTGTCGTTAGCGTGTCGCTGTATCCCGGCCACTACGACAACAGCTGCCGATGCATACCGCTGTCGACGACGAAGAATCGAGCGCCATCTGGTGGGGCATTTATCGAGTGCGTCGACGATGTGTCGACGTCGGAACGTTTGTGACTCGGTCGTTGCGTTGTCTAATGGAAGTAACGCTGCGTCGTAACGTCGCACGCTACTGCTGCTGCTGCTGCTGCTGCTGCTGCTGCTGCTGCTGTTGTTACTGTTGCTGCTGCTGCTGCTGCTGCTGCTGCTGCTGTTGTTGTTACTGCTGCTGCTGCTGCTGCTACTGCTGCTGCTGCTGCTGCTGCTGCTGCTGCTGCTGCTGCTTCCACTGTTGTTACCGCTGCTGCTGCTTCGGATGCGGATGATGATGATGATGATGATGATGATGATGGTGATGATGCCGTCAAGGCCGCTGCTACCGCTATCACTCCGACACACAAGACACAGGAGATCGTTGCACGACGGTGATTGTATCTCTCTCAGCAACCCGCCGTGAGGCGTGAACTTCGATTCTGTAATGCACTCGGCTCGTGTGGCTGAACCGATTCCTCGCACACTATTAGTAGATTCTCTAGACTCACTGTTCACACTTTTATTCACAGCTCCGCGTTACAACAGTATCCGGCTCAGCGTAGAGTGGCAAGAACACACTGACACGTGCGCGCGCGCGCGTGAGAGAGAGATAAATATGAGAGAGGGTCGCAGACTCTGCGCATCGCATCCACGCACGCGCGTGTTAGGGCGTCACATTCTTGGAGGTCCCTGTGGCTGAAGCCGTATTCATGTGTCGTGACCTCGAACTACGTCATCATGATGACAGCTGCAGCGGCGTTACAGCGCGTCGTTGTAGTATTGGTAGTGGCTGGTTGCTGCTGCTGCTGCTGCTGCTGTTCATGATACTCATAGACAACCGGCGCATTTGTGGTTGTGACTTGTGGTGAATTGTTTATGTATAACTCATGTTAGGTCATATGTCAGAGAGCCTGCATAAACTGATAATCTTCATGGTCACTTAAACTATAGAGCATCGGTCTGTGGTCTGTAGTGTGTGACGTTGATTTTGCGATGGTTGTGTGTGTGTGCGTGCGTTACGCGTTGCAGTGACGTGCGAGACCTGCGTGTGTGTGCGTGCGTGCGTGTGACGTGGTGTGTGTGTGTGCCGCACGTATTTCATGTAGCTGCATAAGAGACGCACGTATTTCATCGTAGCTCATAGAGAACCCACGTAAATTTACGTACCTCATAGAGACCCGTATTCAGCGTACTCATAGAGACACACGTATTTCACGTACTCATGAGAAGACCACGTATTTCAGCGTTCTCATAGAGACGTGCACTGGGTATTTCATGTACTCATAGAGACACGTGTTTCATGTACTCATAGAGACGCACGTGTCTTCATGTACTCATAGAGACCACACGTATTTCATTGTACTCCAATGAGACCACGTATTTATATGTAAGCCGTAGAGAACACTACGTATTTCGATTAGACGCCGTTTCGTTAACGCGCACGTATTATTTAACAGCGCGGTTTATTAGTTAATCGCGTTTATTAGTAACTGTTTTAATATCTTTTTTTATTTTTTTTTTCGTTACGCGTCGTGTTTATCTCGAGCGTCGGCATATAAGCTATTAATACAGAACGCGGGCTTTCTATGAGGCGCTTGGTTCGGAATAGATAATTCCGTATAGATGAATAGATCCGTCTATTATTTCCGATATCCTCTATTCGTCTCGATAGTTACTAGGCCTATCATCTGCGTCGATCAGGCGGGGTTTTCCCACCACAGCGGGGAAATAGGTCGAACGAACGTCATGGTGATTGTATTTGGCAAGTCACCTAAAACAGCGGTGAACGCTATATATATATATATATATATATATAATATATATATATATAAATTGTAGTCTGAGTATAAATTAACACCAAGACATCAGCTTTTAGCTGTTTACTCCGAGTTTACGCTTACGCGATCATCA